AGTGGCGGGAAAGACAGAGAATCTGATCAGGAAAGTATGGAATCATCCAAATTTCGCAAGAAAACCCGAAACTAAAAGAGAGCCTGCAGATTACAGATGATTTTCGCCACTTGTATCAGAACGGAGGCTACAATAGGCGACCTGGATGATAACAATTCGGGGCTCTGTTCGGCCTGGGGGGACATTCTGCCTTCTGCGCTAATTCATTTCTTAGTTCATGTTGACTAATACGTTACACTTCTGACACGGGTAAACTCATGTGATGCAGCGGAAGTGAACAATGGGAGCCACTTTTGTCCTAGTAGTTTGCACGTTTTTAGTCCGTGCATGCTTAGCTGAGTACCGTTCGTACCCCCACCAAGCCGAACAGCACCGAAATTGGTAACACATCACGATGAAGCTCCAAAGAGACTCATTCGCTACTAACGCCACTAACCGCGCGAACGGCCGGCGCAGTTCGTTAGGAGGGGGGGGGGGACATTTCGCACGTGCTATTGTGTTCATTGCTTTACAAGAGTTTGCAGGTATTCTTTACAAGAACTGGCAAGTAGTTTCTACAAACTTTGACTGGTATCAGTTTATGGCTTCAAAAAATTCCACAAGTCTCTACCTGATGGCTCGACACGACAATGGAAAGCAGCGAAAGTGCAAAATGCCCCCTCACATTTTAGCCATACTGCGCTTTTTGGGAGAGTCCGACCTTTCCATTAGCCAGTTAAGTAGTGTTTTCGACACGAAATCGGACACGCCAAGGGGGAGAGGGGCTTAGGGGCGCACTTTACAAATCAAGAGCATCAAGCCATCTCCTGGTTTCTCAAGAGGGAGAAAGGTCGAAACTTCTGGACGAGTGAACGTCTTTAAACTCATTTGGCTGAGGCAAAAAACCTAATATGGTAGTTTGAGAGCAGTTTGGTTACACGTTTGGGGGAGGGGAGATTTTACACTTTCCCTGCTCACTACTTCCGGTTTACAAGTACCATTGTGGCGAGACCTGTGAACTCTTGTGAAGCTGGAGCAAGCCCGTTGATCCGCCATGGTTAAACCTGTCAACCCTTGTAAGCTTACGGAATCGCTTTCTGGACAGGTCGATGAGAAGTAGCAAAAGCGCCCGTCGCCGAACTGCCCCGGAGTATTTTCATTGGAAAATTCGAGATATCGTTAATTAGCGTGTTCGAAATAAGTAACGGGCATTGGTAATGTGGTGGCAAGAGGCGCTGTTTACTAGGCACACCGTAAACAATCTCCCGAGCTAACGAAATCTGTCATCCCTCCAGTACCCGTTAATTAGGGCCAGGCTCAACTGGAAGGATGAAAACACTGGCTTGTTCTTCTGCTCTCTCACACAACTCACTGTTTAACAGGATTACTCTTCAAAATACCACGAAACTTAATGGAAAGCGTGGCACATTGCTAGAAAGATGAGCCAACGCCAGAAGCTTTATCCCTTATCTTTCACTGAAAACGAGGAAACGAGCAGCGGTAGTACAAAATGCCCCTCCCTAGCCGAACTGCGCCAGCCAAGATTCCATTGACATGAAGCAGATGTCTCGCAAAGATGACAAAGATATGCAATAACCCTCCTCAGCGCAGGTGGCCAATTATAAGCACCAAGCACGGATTTCCTTAACAGCGATTAGCGAAGGATAAAGCTTTCACTGACTCCCTCTATCTGGCCCTAATCGTTGGGACCTTTTCAGAATAGCAGTGGCATTTTGAATGCAATCCAACCTTTACATTAACTAGTGGAGGTCAACCGATTTACAAGTCGGAGTTCCTGGCCTCCCAGACGGATCTGGTACCAATTTAGGCGCAGTACGGCTTGGTTGGTGCAATAAATGTTACCCAGGAAAGCCTGTACAGATTACCCTGTTGATATGCGGGACTCTTGTAACAAAAGTGGCACAGTTGTCCCATGCAGCAGTTCACCCAAGTTGAAAGGTTTCATCAAATTTTACGCGTTAGTTAACATGAACTATAAAGAAGGGACTAGCAGAAGAGCGAAATACCCCTCCCAAGCCATACAGTGCACAAATTTAGCGTCCCCGATGGATAGAAGATTTGGTTAGCCTGCACGTGATAGCGGCCACACCACGTCCTACTCAACAGTACTTTATATCTAACTAGTTTTTGAAAACTTATGGGTGTACTCATTTTTTCACTCTTTTTTCGCACTAAATTTTCCAACCTCCCCTTCATTGATCAGTGATGATTGAGGGTGGAGAGGGACTCCTAATTTTGATGACAACTACACAGATAACACCTGCCGTTAATCTCCAAAACCTATATTAAAATAGAAACGAGCCCACCATTAAGCCGACAACTGGTTACCTGCCCTGATTAATCCTAATCTGTTAAGCTCTGAAGGATTTCCGAAACAATTGCTCTCTTTGTG